GTAAATAATTATCAATGAATTGTCTATAATATTAAATTATTGTTATATTAGAATTATTTCTATTGTGTAAATACATTTTTGTGCTTATACATTTTTTAACATAGGTACAATTAGTTAAGAAACATGATAAAGTATTAGAATGTAAGCGGACGGACACAACTCGAATATACTGAAAAAAGAAAAACGTGGAAAACTATTTCCAAAGAATTTAATTCAACTACTGGGAGGTTTAGAGATCCTCCAACTTTACGCCGCAAATATGAAAATTTAAAGAAGAAAACAAAAAAGAAATTCGCCGATTTAAAATGCCACCTAAAAGGCACTGGTGGAGGAGAACCTGTAAATATTGTTTTTGATAGTATAGATATATGAGACCATACAATCTATGTTAGGAACTCATTTAACAGGAATGACATCTCAATTTGATAGTGATGCTACATTGGTGATACAAAATGATAAAAGTACATCTGAAATTTTTAAATGTATGTGTTTCGTCATATTCATTTATATTATTTAATATATTTTTAATTTATTAATTATTTTTTTACGTATACCTAATAAACACTAAAGATTTAGAAGTACAAGAAGGAATAAGTGAAAATAATATAAAAATGATAATTGAAGACACCACTTCATTTGACAATGAAAATACTGAAGACAAGGAAAATATTAATGAAAAAAAAGATAATATTAAAAATTAAACCTCATGATCTTTAATAATTGTATTAATTAAATGTATTTAAATTTTATTTTGTACAAAAATTAACTATTGTATAAAAAAATTTAAGATTGGGGAAAATATTGTCCAAGTATGTTGAGAACTCCCAAATCTAAAAAATTAAATGTATTATCTGAGAAAACAGGCGACGCTGAAAGTCCAGGTAATAATAAAGTTACAAAATTTTCAACTCATGAAAAATATGTACTTATATACTTATCTCTATATCCTTATTCTATTATATTTATTACAGAAAATTTAAAAAGTTTATCTAAGAAACATTTTAAAAAGACATCTGATGATGATACATGGACAGAAATAGGAAAAGCAAAATTAAATTTAATTGACATTCATCAACAATGTTTTCTAGAAGAGCATAAACTCAAAATCGAAAAATTAAAAATGGAAAAGGAAATATTACAGTATGAACTCGAATATAAAAAATGTGTTGGAGAAGAAAAATTAATATTATTATTTTTTTTAATACAATTTATATTTCTTTGCACAAAAAATTTTAGTAGTAAATTATTGTATTTATCAGTAAAAAGATTATTTTTGTTTTAAAACTTCGAATGTAGGGAGAAAAAAATATATTGGAGAAGGAAAATTAATATAATATATAGAGTTTATATATTTTTTGTTAAATTTTTATTTTTTATAAGAAACTATTTACTACTAAAATATTTAATGTGTTAATTTATAAAAGTATAATTTTTGTTTTGAAAATTTGTTTTATTATTACCAAAGAATGATAAAAATAAATGAAAACATCATGTATAAATGTTTTATAAGGAAAATTTAAAAAATCATAAGAGCATATAAAAAGTTTTATTTATGTTAATTATAAATTTTAAAGTCTTGAAAAATATTCATTAATTAAAGAAAGTCTAGTTGAATTATTGATTGTAATTGTGTTTCCATTTATATTATTTGGCATATTATTTACTACATGTATTGCTGCTTCAACTTCTGTATCTATTAGTGGAATTTCTTCATTTCTTTTACAAGCTATGTTATGAAGAACAGCTGTTGCTACGATCACAGCTTCGACTCGATCTAAATTTAGTCTGATACCTAACGCTAGAATAGGAAAACTTCTTTTCCACACTCCATAGCATCTTTCTACTGGATTTCTAGTGCGAATTTGTGATTCATTAAATAGTTGTTCTTCATTTTTAGCAGGTCTCAATAAAGGTGTTATTAAATAAGTTTTTACAGGATATCCGCCTATCACCAATTAAAAGGTTATCACCTAATTCACCTCGGTCAAAACGCCCTCTTATGTTACTATTATTAAATATTGTAGAATCGTATGCTGATCCTGGCCAACAAACAACAATATCTAATATTTTTAAATCTGGACTACAAATAGTTTGAACGTTTATTGAAAAGAAATTTTTTCTATTTTTGTATGCTTCACTGTTGTTGCCACCTGGAGACTGAATTTTTATGTGAGTGCAATCAAGGGCACCAATGCAATGTGGAAATTTTGTAATATTATAAAATTTTTTGCGAAGTCTTTCAATTTCTTCCTCTGTATTCGGAAATTTTATATATAAAGGGCTAAGCTGAGCAATAGTCCTTGAAATTTTATTAATTACTTTACTTGCTGTACTTTTATGAATACCACTAAAATCACCTGTAGTTATCAAGAAGGCCACTTGCATAAAATTTTAATGTTAATAAAATCATCCCAGATGCGGAAAGAGCCTGATTCTTAGATAAAATTAATATATTTATAATTTTGTATATAAATACATATTTCATATAAAAATAATTGTCAAAAATTATACATATTATAATCTATATATAAACAATTTAAAAAATATTAAATATATAAAACAATATAAAATATTAAATATATATAGTACAAATTTTATATAATAATTTTATATAATTATATAATAATTTTATATAATTTTATATAATTCATATTATAATTATTAATAGTTATAATAATAATAAATTATTAATATAGTAATAATATGTAGATTATTTAATAATTATAATAGTAAAAGATATTTCAATAGTAAAAAATTTCTTGTATAAATTATTTTCTTTTTATTAATATTTATTAATAATATTACGCGTATATGTTTAAGATTATATATATAGTATATTAATATAGAAAATTCTTATAAAATAACAAGACGTAAAATTGTACGTACTTTAGAAGAAAAAAAAAGAATTTTTACAACGACATCGAAAAAAAAGAAGGAAGAATCAACGCCGTCGTGAAAATAACAAATTAGTTGAAAATTCTTCGAAAAAGTCAAATCAACAAACTATTTGTATTGGTACATCATGTACTGATGTACTGGTACATCAAATGATAATCGTGTAATAGAATTAGATTGGAAAAATGAAGAAAATCCTTTAAGTGTTAGATCAACATTACAATCATCTGTAGAATATCAAACTCGTTATCGATCACGGCAGAAAAAACAACCTTGTTTAAATAATATTAGTACACTATCACTTACTGATGTAATTGAATATTATATTGGTCCTATGTGTATTGTATTCATTGTAATGCAAAACACTTTGCAGCTGAAAAAGTTTCTAATAGAGGATATTCATTTTATGATTGTTGTAATCATGGTGCAGTATGTGTGCAATCATTGCCTGAATTTCCTCAATTCATTCGTAGTTTATTTGATGGTAGTTTATTTGATGGTAGTCACATAAAATCTAATAATTTTTTTCAAAATATTCGTAGTTATAACAGTTCATTTTCATTTGCCTCATTTAACGCTAATTTAATTAACTTTCAAGGTAGACGACCTGGTCCATATTGTTTTAAAATACAAGGACAGATTTATTATCAAATTAATAAAGCATTATATGCTGCACAAAACGAAAGTCTTACTTATGGCCAATTTTTTATCGTAGATTCAAATGAAGCAATAAATCATCGTCTTAATCAAAATTCATACATAGATTTTGAAATTGTACAAAACCTTGAACAAATAATGCGGGAATTTAATGTATTTGCTCAGTCTTATCAAATGATGGGTGAAGAATTAGAAAAGCAACGACGTTTAGGAATTTGGTGAATTATTACCGGAGTTACAATTAGTATTTACTTCAAGACCAGGTATGGATCGACGTCGATATAATACTCAAAGAACCAATGAAGTTGCTGTATTCTCTACAACAGCTGATGGAGAAATTCCAGAATCGTATGTTACAATACGTAATAAAAATACTAAAACTTTACAAAAAGTTAGTATTATGAATCCAAATGTAGAACCATGGATATATCCATTATTTTATCCATATGATACTCAAGGATGGCATCGTGATTTAAAAAAATTAAATAGTGATAGATGAATAACTAGAGGACAGTATATTAAATATCGTATAGCTATTCGTGATGAATTTAATGTTTTTTTATTAGGACGTCGCTTATTTCAACAGTGGCTTGTAGACAGCTATGTAAAAATGGAAAAAGATATTATAATAGATATTATATAATTGATTATCTATTTCTTCTTAATAAATTAAATTGTAAGAAAAGTATTATAATACTTTTACATTTGGTATAATGCATCAAAAATTGATTACGCTGTATATATAATTGTGTAATATAATAATAATAATGAAAAAACTATTAGTATGAGTAAGCACAATAGATACAAAAATATAAAAACTATAAATACACTGTCGTATAAAATTATAATATATAATATAGATGTACAAAACATAACATGATATTGTATTAGAAATTTATTATAATGAAAAAGTTATAGAACACCAGACGAAAAATAAATTCAATATTAATACATAAAAATAACGTCAAAAACTCAGCTGGTTTATTTTTAATTTGAACCATTGAGAAAAATGTGAAGTAAATCGAAATGTATAGAGCTCTATTACTTTTAAATAATTGAATTATATAATTTAAATAATTGAAATATATTTGTATCAGAACATGTGAAAGATTTCAATTATATTTTTTATTATTTAATGTAGTATTTATATACTTATTTTATATAATATAATTTATACATTATATAAATGTATATGTACTTTATACACGTTATACATATTTAAATAAAAAATTTGTTAATATATAAAATCAAAATTAAATTTGTTTATTCTATAGAATTTAATATTGAATTATGTAAAGTCATATTATATAAACAAAATCATAAGTATAATATCACAAAAAAAATATTTTTGTCAATTTTTTTGTTGAGAAGATAAAGTAAAATAACAATAACTATGAAGAAGATAAAGATGAAGAAGATAAAGTAAAATAACAATAACATTAAGTTGGATTCCTCTATTCTGATCCTGTGAAAAAAATATATAAATTAATTATATCTATATGTATGTGTGTGTATGTGTTCTATATAATTATAATTATATAATTATATAATAATTATATATAAGTATTGTGGAATCGGTGAAAGTTATGTCGACAATCAGTATTTATTTAATAAGACCGTTAGTTTAACGTGTAACAAAAGCTTATTTTGATAGCAGCTTGATACAAGGACATTTGTCAGCGATCGAAGTTTCGAGATGTCTGTATGACTCGGCAAAATTGCGGTATATATATGACGCCTCGAGAAAGACCAGAATCTTCAGAATCAGAATCAGACAGTAGACGGAATACAGTTCGCAGTTCGAGATATAGAGTATAATAAATTTGCTTTTTCTATTAGAATCTGACGTGTCTCTGATCGTTTCTGGCCTCTGAGTCTGCTTTCCTAAATTCTCCCGGAATTATCTCCATCAATTATAAAAATTCTTTTCCTACAATTTTGGGGGCTTAGCCGGGATAGTCGCGAGTTGTGGAACAGTAAGCAAGAGCAATGGGAGGAATTTTTGTGAGTGCGTGGTGAAAGACTGATTCATAACGAGAACACCAACTACGAATCTTATCAACGGTGAAAGCTACGACGATCAAATAGGAAATAATTATCCAAGTAAGACAGAAAACATGGAGAAAAACCTGAACGACCTTATGATTAATGAATTGAAGGAGATCTTGCGAGAGATGAGTCTGTCCATGGTGGGCGTAAAGACAGAACTAGTGGCCAGAATATTGAAAAAAGATCCTGCGGGCAGGTGGACGTTGCGGAGGATAGGACACAGGAAGAGTCAGCGAGTGGAGGATCGGGAGAGAGCGAGCGTGGCGAGTATGGACGGCGATGATTCGGAGCGTCTTCGGCGAGAGATGGAACTTTGTCGGCGAGAAAAGGAGCAGGTAGAGCGAGAGCTGGCGTTGACACGGCAAGAAATGGAATTGTTGAGACGTATGGGATATGCGGAGGGCGAGCGGCATGAGTCGGCGAGCGATGCAGGAATGAGGAGGTCAACGGTGTCCCATGAACCAATGGCGATAAATATAAGCACAATTACAAGCCTATTGGGATATTTCGAGGGCGATAGCGAGATGTTCGAGGCATGGGAGAAGCGCGTTAGATCTCTTCGGGATGCTTACAGATTGTCGAATGATTTGGCGAGAATTATGATTGGATCGCGTCTGAAGGGTAAAGCACAGGAGTGGTTCCACTCAAATCCGAATTATACTGAAATAACTGTCGATGAGCTTTTGAAGGAGATAAGAAACATGTTTTTCTTTAAGCCAAGTAGAATTTGTGTGAGAAAGCAGTTCGAACAGCGCGTGTGGCGTAAGGATGAAACCTTCAACGAGTATTTACATCAGAAAATTATAATGGGCAATCAGATCGGGATCGACGAAGATGAGATGATTGAGTATGTAATTGAAGGGATTCCCGATCCAATTCTGCGAGACCAGGCCAGAGTTCAACGACTTAGAACGAGGGAGATGCTGTTGGAGGCGTTCGAGAGAATGTCATTACGTGGAAGGGATCAGCGAAGTGCCCGCGGAATGTGAAGGATCGTCGAGCACAGGGAGGCGTTGTAGGAGAGAATCAGGATGTGAGAACTGTGAAGCGGTGTCATAACTGCGGAGCGCAAGGACATTATGCGATAGATTGTCCGTCTAAAGCGAAAGGTATGAGATGTTTTAATTGTAAAGAATTCAGTCATATCGCAGCAAACTGCCGAAAGAAAAATATTAGCGAAATAAAAAATATGATTGATATTTCTAGACCGAATCGCAAACGTTTTAAGAATGTAAAGATTAACAATATAAATTTGATGGTTATAATAGATACTGGTAGTGATTTGTCATGGATGCATGAAAGAGTAGTACGTGAAGTTAGGAGCTCCGAATTTAACGCGTCGAGAAATTATGTTTCGCGGAATAAGCGCGGAAAATTATAAGACTATCGGTCAATTCAATATAGAAATTGAAATTGATGGCGAATGTTTCACAATAAGTCTGTCAGTTGTGCCGAATAACTTAATGCGTTATGATTTGCTTCTTGGAATTGATTTTCTCGATAGAGTAAATTTATACGTTGAAGAAGGAAAAAGTACGATTCGAAAACCACGTTCGGAGATTTCGAACGATCTTCTCGAAATTTTCGAAATCGATTGTGCTAGCGATAATAGCGATATTGATTTGACATGCGTACCCACCGAACCATAGAGGCATCATAGCAGATTTAATTAGTAATTATAATCCGAACAAAAAGCGCGAAGTAAAGTTTGAGATGATTATAGTTCTTAGAGACAACGAATCGGTATATCAGAGACCTAGACGATTGTCACCTGCGGAGAAAGAAAAGGTAAATTCACATGTGAACGAATGGTTGGCTGAGGGTATTATTCAGCCGTCGCTTTCGGAATATGCGAGTTCGGTAGTGTTAGTTAAAAAGAAAACGGGTGAAACGAGACTATGTATCGATTACAGACAGCTTAATAAGAAGGTAATAAAAGATCGATTTCCTTTACCGTTAATCGATGATCAGTTGGATACACTACAGGGAACTACAATATTTAGCACTATCGATTTAAAAAACGAATTTTTCCACGTACCTATAGAGAAAGATAGTAGAAAGTACACCTCGTTTGTAGTGCCGGATGGACAATATGAATTTCTTTATGCTCCTTTCGGTTTGTGTAATTCACCCGCAGTGTTTCAAAAATTCATAAATCAGATATTTAAAGATCTAATTAAAAACGGTATAGTTCTCACATACGTGGACGATGTAATCATCCCGTCTTTAAATTTTGAGAAGGCATTAATAAATCTTAGAGAGACTGTGTGTTGCCGAGAGTTACGGGTTGAATATAAATTGGAAAAAGTGTAGATTTTTACAGACTAAAATCAAATTTTTAGGCCATATTATTGAAAATGGCACGATACGTCCAACCGAAACTAAAACTGAAGCTGTAATGAAATTTGCGCAGCTCGAAAACGTAAAGCAAGTACAGAGTTTTTTGAGATTAGCCGGATATTTTCGCAAATTTATCAGAAATTATGCCGTAACAGGTAGACTATTGAGTGATTTGTTGAAAACGAATGTAAAATTTGAGTTCGGAGAAAAGAAAGGGAAGCCTTTAATCGATTAAAACTCATATTAAGCACTAAGCCGATATTGAAATTGTATAAACAAAAAGCAGAAACGGAATTGCACACAGATGCCTCTATGTACGGTTACGGCGCTATATTATTTCAGAAATGCGACAAGGATAATGCGTTACATCCGATATATTACGCGAGTGGTAAGACGACCGAGGCTGAGATGAAATACACGAGTTATGAGTTAGAAACTTTAGCGATAATTAAAGCACTACGAAAATTTAGAATTTATTTAGGAATCATTTTTAAAATTGTAACTGATTGTCAAACGTTCTCGTTAACAATGAATAAAAAAGATTTATGTGTTCGCGTTGCTAGATGAGCTTTATTACTCGAGGAGTTTGACTATATTATTCATACATACATCGGCCGTACATCGGCCAGGCAAAAACATGATACATGTGGATACATTGAGCCGATATCCGTTGTCAAGTAATTTATTGATAGATGAATCAGAGGACAGTATTATCGTGAGAATTCGAAAAGCTCAAAAAAGGGATGCGAACGTAAGAAGTATTTATTTACAAGCGGACAAAGGAGAACGTGATGATTATATTGCGAGAAACGACTTATTATTTAATGAGAACAATAGCGATTTACAGCTAGTAGTACCAAAGTGTTTACAATTTCAGATAGCTCGGAAGGTTCATGAAAACGGTCACTTTGCGGTCGAAAAGACGGAAGCGTTAATAAAGCGAAATTATTGGTTTCCAAATATGAGAAATATGATTGAAAAAATCATTCGAAACTGCATAAATTGTATTTTGTCGAATAGAAAGACAGGCAAATTAGATGGCTACTTGAATCCTATACTCAAGGGCAATGTACCTCTCGAAACTTATCATGTCGATCATCTTGGACCACTAGCGTCGACTAAAAAAAGATACCGTTATATTTTCGTAACTGTCGACGCGTTCTCTAAATTCGTATGGTTATTTGGAACGCGATCAACCGGTTCATCGGAAGTTTTGGATAAATTAAATAAATTACCTAATATTTTTGGTAATCCGAAAAGAATTATCTCGGATAGGGGAACCGCTTTTACATCGAATGAGTTTCGTGAGTATTGTCAAAGCAAGAATATTCAACACGTACTTGTTATTACAGATGTTCCGCGAGCAAACGGTCAAGTAGAAAGAATAAACCGAACATTGATACCGATTATAACTAAGTTAGCGGCTCCAAAACCAGAGGAATGGCATAAGTATCTAAATCGAACACAGCAATATTTAAACGCAGTACCAAGTCGAAGTACCAGTAAAACTCCATTTGAACTAATGTTTGGAACGCACATAAGATTGAAAGAAAATCCCGAAATTAGAGAAATAATCGAAAGCGAATGGGAAGTGGCATTCCATGAGGATCGAAATGAACTGAGAGAACAAGCGCGGAAATGTATAATGCGTACTCAAGAAGAAAATAAACGTAGTTATAATAAACATCGGAAGAAAGCGAAACAGTATTGTGAGGATGATTTGGTAGCTATTAAAAGAACGCAACTGGGTGCAGGCTTGAAGTGTGCCGCTAAATTCTTAGGACCGTACCAAATAATTAAAGCATTGCGTAACGATAGATATGTAGTTAGAAGAGTAGGTGACCACGAAGGACCAATCGAAACCTCGACATCTGCCGATTATATCAAACCTTAGCTGGAAACAGCCGATTTGAAGATTCTGATAGCGAGAACGAAATTTGAGGACAGATTGTTTTATTCAGGACGGCCGAGTGTGGAATCGGTGAAAGTTGTGTCGACAATCAGTGTTTATTTAATAAGACCGTTAGCTTGACGTGTAACAAAAGCTTATTTTGATAGCAGCTTGATACAAGGACATTTGCTAGCGATCGAAGCTTCGAGATGTCTCTATGACTCGGCAAAATTGCGGTATATATATGACGCCTCGAGAAGGACCAGAATCTTCAGAATCAGAATCAGACAGTGGAATACAGTTCGCAGTTCGAGATATAGAGTATAATAAATTTGCTTTTTCTATTAGAATCTGACATGTCTCTGATCGTTTCTGGCCCCTGAGTCTGCTTTCTTAAGTTCTCCCGGAATTATCTCCATCAATTATAAAAATTCTTTTCCTATAGTATCAAAATAATGCGTTTCACTAATTGAAAAAAATGCTTAAAAAATATGAATTTTGTCAATACGAAGTGTTTATGTCTGTTTGATCACAAAGCAATTAATTGACGATTAAATTAATTGAAGAAATTTAGAAAAAGTCATTCTTGATACGTCTGTACAACTGATTTATTACCATCATTATAAATATTATCTTATACATTTTTATAAAAGTTTTAATAATATTGTTTACTCAAGAATAGAAAAATATTTGATTAAACATTTTCTTTCAAATAGTGAAAAATATAAGAGGTAGTTGAAATCGATCAGCACTGGCAATATTTATTGAGTTAAAAAATCACAATCACGACGTTTCGACCATAGGTTTTGGTCCTTTTCGAGTGAACTACAAAAAAAAAATTATTTCCAATAATACAACAACAAGAAAAATTAATGATACTAAATTACATAGATGTTCGAGTAAGATTTGAGCAACAAGTTATATATACATACAGTAATTAAATTAACAGTTCTATCGTGAGAAATAAGAAATCACTTCGTCAAGATTATCATGTCACCGTCTCCATCAACACACAGAGAAAGACTAGACAACCTTTATTATTCTATCATAAGTATCGTTTAAATTTTCAGTGTCCTTTTGTAAGTTAATCGTGTTGTCAAACTTTTTTATATAAAACATTTCGGCAATTTCTCTCTTTCTCACGTGTTTCTCATTGTGTAAAATAGTCGGTGATGACCAATCGAAGTCATGGTTAAATTCCACTCTATGCTTGCTAATAACGGAAAAATTACTTTCGTGCACTTTGATGTTGTTGCGATGTTCTTTTATGCGAATGCTTACATGTCTTTTTGTTTGGCCGATATATGATACGTTACAATTTTTGCAGTCTAGTTTGTAAACGACTTCCGTTCTGTTATTAATAGGCAACCTATCTTTACCACGTTTAATTAATGAGTTGAGTTTTTTAGGCACATTATAAACGACTTTAAAGCCTATTTTTTTAAAAAAGCGATCAACATCGTCACTCCAGCCGTCAACAAACGGCAAGGAAATGTACGAAGGCGTAGCTGCATTGTCAAATTCATTGTCAGTATCAGTGTTATCACGATGTTTCAAAAAATACAATCTTTTTTGCACATGACGGTTGATGATTTGATTCGGAAAGCAATTATTCGAAAGAAGAGCTTCTGAGCTTCTGAGTCTTGGTGACAATTTCGGATTACCGTTACTTCAGTCTCACGCGAAAGACCGTATCAACGTTGTTCTCGAGACCTTGAAGAACTTTGAGATCAATTATAACCGTATTTCTGACACTGCTAACGCAATGACCAGAAATTCTGTCGCCAATTCCCTCCATAGATTCCTTCGCGCGAAGAGACATGTCAACTTTATAGACAAATATGTTCTAGACAGTCTCTCTCTCTGTAAACAATTCCTACGTAATAATGACGATTTGTTTGTTATCAGGGCTGATAAGGGGCAGGTCACAGTTGTCATGAATAAAACTGATTACGTGGAGAAAATGGAGGCACTTTTGAACGACCAATCCACCTATAAAAAAGTGAACAAAGACCCGATCAGAAAATTAACAAATAAAATCAATACTCTTGTTAAATCTTGGCGCAGTAATGAGTTAATTAATGAATCCACTTACAAAAAATTGAACTCAACTAATGGCAATTTACTACGTTGTTACGGTTTACCGAAAATACATAAATCGGGTTACTCACTGCGTATCATTGTGTCATCCATAGGTAGTCCGTTATATAACGTCGCGCAATACATTCACGATATATTAAAGATTTCGATCTTGCAACCTAAATCGCATATCAAGGATGGCTGGACGTTTGCTAATCTTTTGAAAGACAAGACTATCAGGGATGACGAAGTAATGATTTCTCTTGACGTCACTGCATTGTTTACGAATATCCCTAAAGATTTGATTGTAATTGCTGTCACTAAACGTTGGAGTCACATTGCTCCTAACACGAAATTGAATTTAGCCCAGTTTTTATACGCGATTGAAACGGTTTTGGACTCCACCAGTTTTTCTTTTAATGGAAATTTTTACGAACAGATTTTTGGTAGTCCTATGGGTTCCCCTCTGTCACCTATCTTGGCAGATATCGTGATGGATGATTTGGAAATGCATTGTTTGAGTCTGCTGAGTTTCGATGTTCCGATCTATTATAGGTACGTCGATGACATTTTCACTATTGTTCCACGATCAAAGATTGAAGAGATTAAATCGACTTTATAATTTTCATCGACGCCTAACCTTTACACATGAAACCGAGGTTGACTCTTCTATCAGTTTCTTGAACACGATGGTTATCCGATCTAATGGTCGTCTTCTGACTGATTGGTACAGGAAACCCACCTGCTCCAACAGATATATTAATTTTCACTCCAAGCATCCGTTGAAATACAAATTGAATACCATTTACAATCTGGTTGACCACGCTATTTTGTTAGCGGACACTCGGTTTCATGCTAAGAATATCGACGCTGTTAGGCGGATTCTTTCGAATAATTGCTTTCCGAATCAAATCATCAACCGTCATGTGCAAAAAAGATTGTATTTTTTGAAACATCGTGATAGCACTGATACTGACAATGAATTTGACAATGCAGCTACGCCTTCGTACATTTCCTTGCCGTTTGTTGACGGCTGGAGTGACGATGTTGATCGCTTTTTTAAAAAAATAGGCTTTAAAGTCGTTTATAATGTGCCTAAAAAACTCAACTCATTAATTAAACGTGGTAAAGATAGGTTGCCTATTAATAACAGAACGGAAGTCGTTTACAAACTAGACTGCAAAAATTGTAACGTATCATATATCGGCCAAACAAAAAGACATGTAAGCACTCGCATAAAAGAACATCGCAACAACATCAAAGTGCACGAAAGTAATTTTTCCGTTATTAGCAAGCATAGAGTGAAATTTAACCATGACTTCGATTGGTCATCACCGACTATTTTACACAATGAGAAACACGTGAGAAAGAGAGAAATTGCCGAAATATTTTATATAAAAAAGTTTGACAACACGATTAACTTACAAAAGGACACTGAAAATTTAAACGATATTTATGATAGAATAATAAAGGTTGTCTAGTCTTTCTCTGTGTGTTGATGGAGACGGTGACATGATAATCTTGACGAAGTGATTTCTTATTTCTCACGATAGAACTGTTAATTTAATTACTGTATGTATGTATAACTTGTTGCTCAAATTATATTACTCGAACATCTATGTAATTTAGTATCATTAATTTTTCTTGTTGTTGTATTATTGGAAATAATTTTTTTTTTTGTAGTTCACTCGAAAAGGACCAAAACCTATGGTCGAAACGTCGTGATTGTGATTTTTTAACTCAATAAATATTGCCAGTGCTGATCGATTTCAACTACCTCTTTTATTTATTTACTGGCGATCTTCAAGATAATTTAAAAGTGAAAAATATATATATTGATATTTATTTTTAATCTTTTCCCACTTTACCTCAAAAACTATAATCTTTTTATTACAATTTTTATTAAAAAATAATTTAAAATTACGAATATTATTAATTGTAAGACTAAAAAGTTACAGTGAAACTTTAAGAGTTTTACCAGCTTCTTCAATCTCTTTTATTAAAAACTAATAGTTTTAATATTAATTATAATAATTATACGTAGTTACATGAAAGTACTTCATCTATTTTCCTTTTCAAATTTTTGGTACCATTTATTAAGATTAATAGTGGCATGTGTCCTGCGATTTTTTTTATATTTTCTATATTATTAACAACTAAATACGATGGTATAACTAAAAATTGTAAAAATATTAATAAATAAATATAAATAGTATAAATAAATATAAATATAAATATATACATATATATATATATATATATATATATATATATATATATATATATATACAGGGTGTCCCATTTTAATCCATCCAATCGAATATCTCGAAAACCAAGCTTGAAAGAGAAAAATGTTTCAGACAAAAGTTGTATGGTTTCTAGGGGGACATAAGATGGTACCATTGGTTTGACCTTGAAGAGTTATTTGAAGGTCACATGAAGGTCACCTTCAATTTCTTAAATGGAATCTACATTTTCTCATTACATAGTCTTGTAGCTTATCTCGAGAGCTTTCCAAAACACTATAATAAAATATTTTTTTATTGAGTACTTTTCGAGTTATGAAGCTTGAAATCATTTCTTAATTTAACATAAACCGTAATATATCTAGTAAAATATTCATTTTTCGATTATCTTGCTTTAATACTTTTATGTACAAAATAATGAAAGGAATCAATTGGTGTAAAGAAAACACATAGTTATTTTTAAGAAAAAATATGTAATTTGCAATTAACAATTACATATTTTTTCTTTGAAACAACTATGAGTTTTTTTTACACCATTGATTTCTCTCATTATTTTGTACATAAAAGTATTAAAGCAAGATAATCGAAAAATAAATATTTTACTAGATATATTACGGTTTATGTTAAATTAAGAAATGATTTCAAGCCTTATAACTCGAAAAGTACTCAATAAAAAAATATTTTATTATAGTGTTTTGGAAAGCTCTCGAGATAAGCTACAAGAATATGTAATGAGAAAATGTAGATTCCATTTAATAAATTGAAGGTGACCTTCATGTGACCTTCAAATAACTCTTCAAGGTCAAACCAATGGTACCATCTTATGTCCCCCTAGAAACCATACAACTTTTGTCTGAAACATTTTTCTCTTTCAAGCTTGGTTTTCGAGATATTCGATTGGATTAAAATGAGACACCCTGTATATATACACCATGGCCCATTTTAATCGACGCACCTGAATATCTCCGTTGATAAGCCGAATACAAAAAAATTGTTTAGACAAAAGTTGTATGGCTTGAAGGGGGATATAAGATGGTATCATTGGTTTTATCTTGAAAAGTTGTTTGAAGGTCACATGAAGGCCACCTTCAATTTTTTTAATGGAACTCCCTATTTTTTATTACTTATTCTTGTAGCTTATCTCGAGAGCTTTTCAAAACACTATAATAAAGTATTTCTTCATTGAGTACTTTTCGAGTTATGAGGCTTGAAATCATTTCTTAATTTTACATAAACCATAAAATATCTAATAAAATATACATTTTTCAATTATCCTACCTTAATACTTTTATACAAAATAATGAGAGGAATCAATTAGTGTAAAGGAAAAACACAGTTGTTTTTAAGAAAAAATATGGAATTGTTAATTGCAAATTACATATTTTTTCTTCGAAATAATTATGTGTTTTCTTTAGTTATTATTGGACACACTATGATGGCGACACGCGGCGCTTCAGCATTACGTTTGATGAGTGCCGCACTCACCGCTTCGCCGCGCGCCTAGTATCAAGTTACAGGGCGGCTTTTCTCATCATGCGTTTCTACTCATACTGAATTGACTGATCTTTTTAAATTAATATGTTATTAATTATTACAAAGGTCGTGATAGAAAACGGTAGAGAATTTTGCTATTTAGTTTAATCCGCTCTACTTGCACATGAGAGACTTAAACTATTATTGTAGACATTCTATATATGTATCTCTTTATATTGTAATTTTAAAGAAGAATTGCACTCAGCTATATAAAAAATTAATAAATACATTTCAAGATTTATGAATTTGACATTGCGCAAAGCACTTTTAGCCTTTTAAAATACAAAATTAATAATTAATTTGTGAGTTAAAGATTTGCCCTATAAAATTAAAATTTTTATTTTCATGAATTTTTATGTATAGTGTTATAAAATTTTTACAATAGAAAAATGTATGATAAATATTTTGATGAAGGGAGCCAACCTCAATTAGAACCTTGACCTTGACATATGTTATCATGGTCACTGCCCTGAGTAACATCCAAAAAGTTTTAGCCGTCGCTTGTTGTTTATTAGAAAGTTATTAACAAAATAATTTTACAATTTTAATGCTTTTTATCTCTGGAAATATTGTTTTGAGAAAAAAATTTTAAGCAAAAAAGCCGCTGAAAAACTCTACAAAAAATATGCATTTTTTTCATAAACCTACTATTTTAGTTGTTATATAAAAAAATAATAATTTTGAATACATTTAATATAATTTCAATTTATATAGAATTTAATACAATTAAAAAATATCACAAATGTATGTGTATGCACACACACGCGCGCGCGCGCGAGAGAGGAGGCCTTCAGCCCTACCCTCCTGCAACCATCCCGCCGGTAAGAAACGCATTACGAAGAGTTGAATCACAATGAATGTATGCTATAAGTTGTAAAGCGAAGTCCACCTTGCCTACCGGCGGGGTGGTTGCGGGAAGAAGGGCCGAAGGCTTCCCTTGCACCCCCTTGCGCGCGCGGGTGTGTGTGTGTACACATACATTTGTGATATTTTTTAATTGTATTAAATTGCATTAAATTCTATATAAATTGAAATTATATTAAATGTATTCAAAATTATTATTTTTTTATATAACAGCTAAAATAGTAGGTTTATGAAAAAAATGCATATACTTTTTTGTAAAATTTTTCATCGGCTTTATTTCTTGCTTAAAATTTTTTTGAGATAAAAAGCATTAAAATTATGAAATTCTCTTATCTAATAATTTTTTAAGGAACAGCGAACAACGGTTAAAGCCCTTTGGATGTTACTCAGGACAGTGACCTTGACAACATATGTCAATGTCAAGGTAATCGAAGCGGGCTCACTTCATCGAAATATTTACCCCCAATTCATAAATCTCGAAATGTATTTATTTACTTTTATTGATTTTATATTTATTATAATTTTTGATATAACTGATCTTTCCAATTTCTTCTTAAGATAACATTTTTAAGATATCATTCTTAAATCTGATTTAATTTTTATGTCACTATGTAACTTGAAAATAAGGCTGTAATAATATCTGTTACAATAAAAGACGTTTACAAAATTAAAATTAATTTTTAATTTTTATTATATATTTAATATTTATCAATATTTTGTTATATATATATATATATATATATATATATATATATATATGCAAGGACGCATGCATGCATTGTGCGTGCACATAATACATTAGAAATTAGAAAGTATTGTATAATACATTAAAAAAATTTTCATATAAAGTACTAAAATAAACTAAATGGTTTTAAAATAATTATTCGTTAAAATAATAAACAAATGTTATAATACTTACATTTATATATGTATATGACTATGCACATATTTACATAACTATGAAAATATTATTACACGGTTATAATATAATAATAGTATTAATAATACTATATTTCACTTTTGTCGTAATTTTCTTTAATAGCCTAGTGTTTTTCAATACGTGATAATAAAGCGTTTCCAAACAAACTTCATATAACATTTTTTCTTATTTCGACTTGTAGAATAAGCTTCCGAAGTTTGATTGAAAAAACCCGGGACATCCTGTATAACTTTTATATATTAAATTTTATAATAATTTAATATTAATTGATTAAATAACAAATTTATATTATACAGTTTATTTGTATAGTTTATTGTTAGTAAATAATATATATACTATAAACATAATAAATATATAAACAACATGATAATTTTAATAACGAGCAATAAGAGCCCACAACCGCGGATGGCAATGCGTGAATTATTTCGAACATTAATTGTTCACGAAAATTTTAAGGCATATGCACATATGCCAAGTTATAGATTCTCTTGGTTTGAGACTTCTATAACACCCCCTTTTACCCCCCTGGAGAGATGTAGACAGGAAAAATATCGGGGCGAAGTCGCTGAATCGGGAATCGAACCCGAGTCTTTCGCTTGCCGGGCGACTGCTCTTACCACTGAGCTATTCAGCCCCACACCGACATTTCTCCTGTACGTTTTTATTAATCGGTGGAAATAATGAGAACACGATAATTAGCTCCACGTGTAGTTCTAAATGAATTGGTAAATTATTCGGCTCTATATATTTAAACAACATGATAATTTTAATAACGAGCAATAAGAGCCCACAACCGCGGATGGCAATGCGTGAATTATTTCGAACATTAATTGTTCACGAAAATTTTAAGGCATATGCACATATGCCAAGTTATAGATTCTCTTGGTTTGAGACTTCTATAACACCCCCTTTTTACCCCCCTGGAGAGATGTAGACAGGAAAAATATCGGGGCGAAGTCGCTGAATCGGGAATCGAACCCGAGTCTTTCGCTTGCCGGGCGACTGCTCTTACCACTGAGCTATTCAGCCCCACACCGACATTTCTCCTGTACGTTTTTATTAATCGGTGGAAATAGTGAGAACACGATAATTAGCTCCACGTGTAGTTCTAAATGAATTGGTAAATTATTCGGATCTATATATTTAAACAACATGATAATTTTAATAACGAGCAATAAGAGCCCACAACCGCGGATGGCAATGCGTGAATTATTTCGAACATTAATTGTTCACGAAAATTTTAAGGCATATGCACATATGCCAAGTTATAGATTCTCTTGGTTTGAGACTTCTATAACACGCCCTTTTACCCCCCTGGAGAGATGTAGACAGGAAAAATATCGGGGCGAAGTCGCTGAATCGGGAATCGAACCCGAGTCTTTCGCTTGCCGGGCGACTGCTCTTACCACTGAGCTATTCAGCCCCACACCGACATTTCTCCTGTACGTTTTTATTAATCGGTGGAAATAATGAGAACACGATAATTAGCTCCACGTGTAGTTCTAAATGAATTGGTAAATTATTCGGCTCTATATAT